TATGTTATTTTCTGCACTCTGGTATGTTTAAAACAAAAACAAAAAAAAAGAAAAAAAGTTACTACTCTGCAAGAACTGCTGAAAGGGCTCCATCACTTCCATAAACCTCACACATATCAATTATTGTCTTCTATTAGTCACTTAAAAGGCTAGGTTGCTTAATTATTTTGATCACAGTAATCACTTATTTACAAGGCGGGGAAAAATGCCAAGTGCTTCCAAGCTGAGCAGCACAGTCGGGCTGTGGCAGAGGAGGCAGGGCTGCAGAAACATCTCCTTCCTCCCCACAAACATAAATCCTTCTGCTTTTCTTGGTTGCATCAGTGATGGTGCCCAGCCTGGGCCCTTCTCTCCTGCTCTGGAAACTGTGGTGGTGAAGGAAGGTGGGCTGATGAGAGCCCAGGGTGGTGGGAGCTGCAGGGAACTGGTTCTTCATGGAGAGAAGGACTGTGGAGGAGTTGGAAGGTGGGCTGTGGCTAGGTAGGAGGGTGGAACAGGGAGTGGGGACCCAAGGATAGAAGTGTGAGTAGGGAAGAGTGAAAGGAAAATGACATGAGATCGCAGGGCCAGAGGAGCCCCTTGCATGCCCTCCTCCCTGCTGCCCTCCTCCCCATCCTGGCAAACCGCTCCTCTGCGAACGCGCTGCCCCGTGCTGCGAGAGTTGCAGGGTCCCTTTCAGGTCCTTCCAGGGAGAAGATGCTGATCCGCAGCATCACCTGGGGAAGAGGTTTGGATTGTTGGGTTTTGGGGGGCCGGGGGAAGGAAGGATCTGGTAGAAGTGAAGCGTGACCCACTGAGACCTGCTCCCAGCGTCCTGCCACTGTTTGCAACCTGCAGAAGGTGTTTGGGTGGGTTTTTTTCCTAAAAGCTTGTCTGCCTTCCCGCGATTCCATCGGCCCAATAACAGGTTATCACCTCCCCTTCCAAGCCTCCCCTTCCCGCTTTCACTCTGTGTCTTCCACATGCTTCTCCTTCGGAATCCGCAGTGCCTCCTCTGCTTTCCAGCGAAAGCCAGGCTGCTCCCAGCCCTCCTCCATAAAAGCCCCTAATTCCATTAAAGCCCATTACAAGCTCCTCTCCCGCAGCTCCCGGAGGAGCGCGGGGCAGCGTGGAGCAGAGACCGCAAGAAAACAAATGGGCCACTTTGAACAAATCCCGGGGCCGCTTGCCAAGCGGGGATCCCCCGCTATTTACAAACCTCCTAGCACCGAGGTAAAAGGGAAGCGGGGAAAAGGCACCTTTTATAATCACCCAGATTTAGTCCTTCAAAGGATTTATTACAACCTTTTATTTTCATCCGTGGAAAATGTAATCTTAATCTAGCGCGCCGCCTGGCCCGGCTCGGCTCGCCGGATCGGTTTTCCAGCAGGAAGCTCTCAAACGGCAGCCTTCGGGGCCGCGCCGAGCCCGGCTGTTAAAGGTGCTGGGATGCATTAAAGCAGTTGAAACGTGCATTAAAATGCAGCACTGGGAGAGGGGGATATCTGTGCAATTAGCAATCCCACGCTTTCAGCAGCTGCTTGCGTCGCCGATCCAGCGCATCGGCAACGGGCGCCGCTGAGATTTCATAGATTTCTAGGTTGGAAAAGACCTTAGAGATCATCGAGTCCAACCATCCCTAATCCCCATTAAACCATATCCTCAAGTAGATCATCCACCCTATTCTTAAACACATCCAGGGATGGGGACTCAACCACCTCCCTGGGCAGCCTATTCCAGTGGCTGACAACCCTTTCAGAGAAGAAATACTTCCTAATACTTTCCTTTGATGGAGAAAGGGAACAAACAGGCTAGCCGCGCCGCTGCCGCGGAAAAAAAGCGGCTTTTGGGGTGGGTTAGCAGCCAGCTAGCTCGGGGTACGTGGGGTTTTAGCAGGGATCAGGTGCAGGGGGTTGTAGGAGATAAAAGGCTGTGAACCTTGAATTTTAATTTAGGCTGTTTGCAGGCAGCAGAAGCTGCTGGCACCGGGGCGGTCCGCGTCCCCTCTGCGACGCCGGGGAGCGGTGCCAGTGACATTCGGAGTTCAGCAAGCAAAATCCTATTAAGATAACGTCACGGCCTTTCTGGTTTACTGTTTGCAAGCCAGCCATAACATCATTAAATTACACAACAGGGAGGTGCCCGCTGCCAAGGAGCTCTGCTCGAGATAAGATGTGGGTTGAGCCGCTGCCAAAATTTTGAGTTGATATGACAAGAAATTTGGAGCTGGTTCAAGGCTTGTTTCGCACCAGACATCGCGGCGTGCAGGTAAACACCGGGCAGGATTGGTCCCTGGGGCAGCTCCGCTGCTCCGATCGGGGCACGGTGCGGGTCATGCAGGTAGGGTGGTATCCGGCGCTGCCGGCTGGCACCGTGCAACGCCTGTGCAGAGCAGGGCTCGGCCAGGCAGGCTGGGGCTGAAAGCATTTGTAGTAGCCAAATTTACACCCCTTCTTGTGTTCAGCACTGACAAGCAGAAGGGAAAAGTCTGGCAGGATCCGTAGATGAAGCTCAGGCAACTGTTGGCAGGTCTTCACCGTCCTCACCTCCACCACCTCTGCCCAGCCCCTTCGGGGGAGTCGGAAGCAGCCCGACAGCTAAAGGGGTTGAATTTGGAGGCTCACAGTAGTAATTAAAGCACCTGTAATGTAGGGGCAATTTTGATAGCTCATTATCTCTAGCTGAGATGGGGTGGAGTTACCCCCCCCGGGAGGAGAGGGGTCGCTGGCAGGGTTGTAAGGGCTGGGGTACCTGATGCTCAGGGAAGATGCTCGTTTTGTGATGCCATGGCTGGACCAGGAGGAAAAGGAGCAAGAAGAAGTAGCCACAGCATAAAACTATGTACAGCCTTGGTAAGAGCACTGAAACCCTGCCTCGCTGGTCCCTCTGCAGCACCAACACATCCCTGCCACGCGTGCCCACGCAGGCTTTGTGCCCCTTGCCCTTTTGCTGCTGCTGTGGAGGTTTGGTCCTGGGCTCTCCTGGATCTCAGGTTTCTTTGCGCTATCCTCAGGCCCCCTCTTTCAGATCCCCCAGGGAGGGCTCAACCAGCACCATCCTCACTTTGCCATCGTTCGGCTGAACTCCCTTCATCAGCATTAAGGACCTTTTTCTCCTGCAGCACCTTCCAGGCAGTGGAGGTGATTCACAGCCAGGACTCTGGGGCTCAGGACACATTTCAGTCGTTCCATGGAAGCACCTGGGCTGTGTGTGCACAAAGCCTCATATCACCCCACCCTCCAAGACAGGACATCAGGAAGAAATGACTTAAACCAAAAATTGTGCCTTAAAAGCAGCTTTCTAAGCGTTTCCCATCAGAGAAGCTTTGTTTCCACGGAGCCACAAAGCCTGCCCTGCCCTGGGACTCTGCCTGGAGCTCCAGTTCTGCTGTTACTGCGTTCCCTCGCGGCTGCCTTTCTGGCATTTGCCAACTTTCGGGGTCCCACGTGTATCTCATCCGTGTTGCAGCAGCTCAAGTACAAAGTGGCTCGGAGTTCCCGTTACCGGGATGTTCCCTGCGAAGGGACGGAGCGGCGCGTACAAGCACATCTCGCAGCGACCTTCCATCCCAGCAGTGCCTTTGCACATCTTCCCTGCAGAGGACTTTGGGGTACCGCAGTGCCGCGAGCGGTGCGAGGCTCGTGCCTCCGTAGTGCCTCATCTCTCGGCCTGCCCACATCCTTGTAATTACAGAGCCACGTACGTGCAGGGGAGATGAGATACCGTGGCGTGTCAGGCAAGCCTGTGACCTTCCTGCGATTCTCCAGTTTCCATAACAGCAGGATATTTGTTTTGTTGCCATAGAAAACCTGCCCGTGCAGGTTTGCAGGGTACCGAGTTGTCACTACAACCGTTACCTTCTGCTGAGCCTGAAAGGAGCCGCGCGTCCCCGAGACCAAATCAGATGGTGTTTCCTGCCACCTCCTCAGGAAAGAAAAAAAAAAAAAGTGTTAAGATTGACAGTTTTGGAAAGCGAAGTTTTCTATCTGGCAACAGAGCAGGCGGCAGCGTGGCACAGTCCTGGCAGCGCGGCGTCCCCCGCCTCGCAGCGGGCGCGAGGCGCGGCCGCGG